GCAGTTAAGGTCAGCTTTAGTACAGATAGCACAACTGACAACCTTTATTTCTGAGTTTAGCGTGAAATGTTCCCACACTTTTGAGGATTTTGTTCTCGAGGCTGCCATTGCGCTTATTTTAACTGTCCAGAAAGCAGTAATGTCAAAGCATTCCTAGTGAATGCGAGAAACACGTGATGACTAAACCAACTAACCTTCTATTAAATTAGTTGCCAACTAATTTTGTTGTAGATTTTAGTTGACTAAGTCGAATAATCGTTGCACCCCTAGATGAGAGAAACATTTTGGGCTGGTGAAAGGTAATAGCAGATCTTTGCTTTTGCTTGGTAAGCTCACCCAAAGAGTGTTAAGCAGCAGTGCTGAGATGAACTTTAGCACAGCAGGGCTAACGGTTGATCAGAGGAGGATGGATGCTGCTCTCTGCCAGGTACGACCACAATACTGTGTTCTACAGATGTGCTGTGCTGTATAAAGTAGCAAAATACTTTGTTCTCTTTCATTTATTCTGCACAAATTACAGCAAGTTGCTCCAGTTTGGCACCAGATATATAAATCTCATGGTTGTTTTTCTTTGTGAGTGGGATCTGCAGATCCGGTACACTTTGATCCCTCAAGGTGAAGAATTGTTCAATGTGTGAGCTTTGTCTGCAGTTGCTTGCGTTGTGCACATACTGCTGTGTCTACAAAACAAGAGGTTGCAAGTGATAAATGTCATGCAGTGTGAGCAGTGCAGATTTTGAAAGTCATGTAGTGTCCACTAGGCATCAGCAGTAATCTCCTGGAGTTTGCATATTGTAGCTGTTCTGCTGAATGTTCATCTTTCTGAGCAGAGTGGCCTGTTCATTTTAGGTTGTATCAGTGTTGGAGGTCCACACGGGCATGAAATTGAAGGCAGAAATTGCCCTGTGCCTGCGATTTTGATAGCAGACCTGAATTTGAAACCCAAAGCCAAACTCAACCTACTTGTATGTTCTAACAGAGATGATTATCAGACACGGGTTAACATTGCTTTGTTTTGTTACTAAACATATTGATCTACAGAAAATGTCATTCACACTAACAGTAATAAATGAAAGGTGGTCTCTGACTTTTGCACTGTACTGTATGTAAATATGCTCTGTTCTCATTGGCTGCCATATATTGTGCCTTGTTCACAAAGCAGTTCTTTTATCTCAGAAAAGCTGGGAACATTTTTCTTCTGCTTGAAAACACCTTTTTATAATGTTTGATTTCTGTGAAATGAGAAAAGTACATGATAGAAGTAAGCTTAGAGTTGCAGAGCCATTCATTAGTTTCTGTATTTACTCTCCTCCTGCTGGTGCCATCTGTCGCCGGCGGCCCGGCTGGACTCGTGGGCACAACATGACCACTTCCTGGCTGACGCCATCACATGACGCAGTCGAGCTGCAGTGGCCATCAGAGCAAAAACTGCCCATTCACCCCTTCCTGCTGATCCCGCTGAGTGTGTGAGAGCATGTGAGAGAGAGTTAGAAGAGAAAAGGTTAGCAATGGAAGAAAGAAAGGAGAGGAAGTGCAGTGGAAGAGATAGGATACATAAATTGAGAGAAAGAGATGTTTATTTCTATTTTCTGTTTACTGCTAATTCCTTTGGCTATGATGTCACTGTTAAAGGGGCACTGTGGCCAAAATTATAAGGTTAGCCATTCATACATCCGCTTTAAACATGCCTACTTGCCTCCTACTGTGGTGCCACAGAAGTCTTTAGAGAGACTTCAGAATTAAGAACTGAAAGCTTCTGATATGGGGTGAAGATTTTTTTTGCCTTTTTTACTTTTTTTTGCTTGCCTTTGATTTTTTTTGCTTGCTGGCAAAGGCAGATGGGAGCCAGATAGTTAATGTTACAGCTATTAAGTTGAATATCATTTGTGTTTATTAGTCTGTTATAATATCTCGCTCTTTATTAGCCTCTACGTTAGTGGGTTTATGTGTTGCAGTGGGGGGATTCCTAGTAGCTGTTTAAGCAGTGGAAAACAGCCGTGATGTTATTCCCAATAAAACCCAATTTTTACTCAAAACCCAATGTTTTGGCGATGCTGATGATAGACTGTAATAAAGTCTATACTAAACTACTGAAGTGCTTGTTAGAATTCTTTGAAATGTATCATTCAGTCCCAGTCCCAGGTATATACAGTCCATGAGCCAGAACATTATGGCCTACTATGTGTTGGTCCTTATGCAAGTGGACCCGCCAGGGCATAGACCTCTAAAGGTGCTCTATTTTATCTGGCACCTGGACGTTAGCAGCGGATCATTTAAGTCCTGTAAGTTGCAAGCTGGAGCTGCTGTGGGTCAGACTTATTTCAGCATGTTTCCTATACATGTTTGATCAAATTTTGATCTGGGGAAATTGGTGACCAGGGCAACACCTTAAACTCTTCATCCTGTTCTCAAACCATTCCTGAACAATGTGTGAAGTGTAGCAGGGCACGCTATCCTGCTGAAAGAGGCCAGTCATTGGGGACTACCCCTGCCATGAAGGGGCGTACCAGGTCTGCCCTAATGTTTATGTAGGTGGCACATGTCATGTTGATGTCCACATGAATGCCTGAACCCAGGGTTTCCCAGCAGAACATCTCCCAGAGCATCATACTATCTCCACTGGCTTATCTTCTTCCCACAGTGCATCCTGGTGCCATCACCCAGGTAAAGGGAGCACACGTGCCCAGCCGTCCACATGAGGTAAAAGAAAAAGGGACTCGTGGGATCAGGCGACCTTTTCCATTGCTCCAAGGTCCGGTTCAGATGCTCACGTGTAGGTACTTTCAACAGGAGTTAGCATGGGCTCTCCTTTTTCTGTGAGTCATGCCACAGTAGCCCATCTGTTGATTCTGACCTGAAGGATAGCCTTCGTTACTCTTGCACATCGATTAGCCTTGGGCGCCTAGTACCCTGTCGCTGGTTCGTCGTTTGTCCTTCCTTGGACCACTGTCTGTAGGTTCACACCACTGCTGACCAGGAGCACCTCTCAAAACTCGCCTTTTCTGAGATGCTCTGATCGAGTCCTCTTGCCATAACAATTTGGTCCTTGTTGTTCAGGTCTTCACTTCTGCCATTTCTCCTGCATTCAACATGTTGACTACAAGAACCGACTGCTCACTTCCTGTATAAAACATCCCAGATCTCAGTATGCACCTGTGTTATGAGATAATCAGCGTTGTCGCTGTGAGTGGTCAGAATGTTTTGGCTCAATGGTGTGTAGGAAAACAATGACAGTTCCTTGCCAGCACAGTGTTTTGAATTCATCATGGTTGTGATGTCACAACTCATGACTCATGACCAACACACTTACTAAATTGGGACCTGTCTGAAGAAGCAGGAATTTTTGTTTAGCCAGCTAACTTTAGGTTTAGGTTCATTCAACCCTACACACTTAAAAAAGATGGTTCTTCAAGGGTTCTTTAGTAAAGAAAATGGTTCTAAATAAAACTGTGAACACTGAAAGAACCCTTTGTATGATTAAAGGATTCTTTGCATTGTAAAAGGGTTCTTTATGTTCTTATATGTGTGTGTGTGTGTGTGTGTGTGTGTGTGTGTATAAAACCGTATACAACACATTCTTCATCAAGCTGAAGAACGCTTTCAGGATGTAAACAACACTGAACTCATACAAAGGGTTGTTGAGTGTTCCTGGTTCTATACAGAACCATTTATTTTAGTAAAGAGCTCTTGCAGAACCATCTTTTTTTAAGTGTAGATTTTTGAGGACAGCTTTCTGACATTGTTTTTGGCTTCAGTCGCATGAAAAATATTGCATTTCAGCAGAACAAACAAATTATGCAACTAAAACTTGGTGTGTGTTGGACGTGCTTCGTGCGAGAGCCCTCTGGTCGTTAACTGATGAGAATAAAGTGTGCGTCACTCCATCATTTTCTCCCTCTGTCAGTCTGTCTGCAGTGTGATTGCTTCATATAACAGTGCTGTGATTGAAATTCTCACAAGTTCTGCACTGTTCTCTTGAGATGTGTTATGCAAACATTCTCTGTCTCTGTTTCTCTGTTGTATCTATCTCTAACTTTTTTTTTCTCTGTATATCATTCTGTCTATCTTTATCTCTCTTTCTATTTCTATCTCCATCATTCTCTCTCCTCTCTCTCTGTTTTCCCTCCCTCCTTCCCTGCTGTTAAATCAGAAGGTGCTGTGTTGGCAAGGAACCGTCACTGCGGAGTGTTAATGAAATGCACTGACTTGGAGAGTGTGGGAGGGTGTGTGTGTACGAGGCTGCACGTGTGTGTGTGTGTGTGTGTGTGTATGAGGGTGTTTGTGCTTCTGTGCCACTCATGAATTTTGTCTTTGTAGGTATAACTAGGTGATGTAGATTTGTGACATATTACTGTGCAAAAGTCAGAGACCACCACTCATGTATTTAATTTCCAGTTAAAACAGCCATTAAGTGCAAGTTATTCATTTTTCAGCACCAGGAAAAAAATAGAAAAAAAATATTTAACAGAAATTAGACAGAAGCCTCAACAATTACATCTGCTTTTTTAGTATTTAATATTTATTGTGTCTGTCCATTACCTTTATGACAGCTTCCATTCTTTTCAGGAGACTTGCTTTCAGTTGATCAAAGAAATCTACAGAGATATTTGTCCACACCAAAGTTCAGTCTTTGATGTTGGTTGGATTTCATGCTTCTCATAATTCAAGCAATGTCATGCACATTTAATAATGTTGGGTCTGGATATGTACACATGCACAGAGAGGGAGAAATCAGTGGTGTCTCCATATAAAATTAAGTTATATCCTGAATGTGTATGTGATGTTAAAGCACCTTGTAATGCACATTTTTAGTTGGCATAAATGTTAAATATACTATTCTGTTATTATCTATTGACCTTTCTTAACATGACCGTTAATGTGCATGGTGGGCCATTTTCATGTCCTTTGCCATGACAGGAGATCACATTGAAACACAAAGAGAAAGTGAGAAAGTGTGTGTATGTGTTTTCTAACTCTTGTGTATGTGTGTGTTTGTGCAGGTGGCGGCTCAGCGGATGGCGAGTGTGTGTTTGAAGGAGATTACGCTGTGCCTCCTCTGCCGGTGACCGAGGGCATGCAGCACATTCGCATCATGGAGGGAGTGTCACGCTCTCTGCCTTCATCACCACTGCTCTCCCACCAGGCCATCAACATGAGGCTACAGCCACTCAAGAGACTACCAGGTAACTAACGTGCACGTAGCATGAGGGCTAACTTGCCAATGAGTTCAACAGTACTACAGTTACACAGTACTACAAAACTATTATGTTTAAAAATGGAACAGATTAACCCCCTAAAGACAGTTAGCTAACTTAACTACACAATTAAAAAGATGGTTCTTCAAGGGTTCTTTAGAAAAGGCGGTGGCTCTCTTTAGAACCTTGAGTTCTATATAGAACCATTTGCATGCTTAAATGGTCCTTTTCATAGTGAAATTGTTCTTCAAATTGATGGAGAATATGTTGTTTAAGGTGCTATATAGAACCTTTGTTAAAATGGTTCTATATACATTTAAGCATACAAGTGATTCTATTAGAACTCATGATTCTAAATAGAACCATTACCCTTGAAGAACCATTGAGTGTGCAGACTTAATAATAGACAAGCTGTGCATAGCCAATTAGTGTATAGCTCTGCTAGCAGGGGACGATAATGGTAGCTAATGCTTACTTTAGCTTCAGTAGATGTACCTTAGTTTCATGCAGTTTGTTCACAGTGTGCTGCACTACAGTCCCCAGCATGCACTGCATTGTATTGTGCTCCGACTCTCCTACCCCAGCAGCAATCTTATCCCATCAATCTTACCCCAAAGTAATCTGGGACAGCAGTTACACCTCAATTCTACACAGTTCTGCGCAATTCGGCACCAGTCATGTCACCAAAATGCATTTCAGCTGCAGTTCAACCAATATAAACAGCTAACATCAGCTCAGCAGCTTGGAAATTGAGCCCAAGTCTTAATGAACTTGCAGCAAAGAAAGGATGCCAGGTGTCTAGTTCAAGCAAATTGGTGGGTTAAAAGGCTGAGCACCTGGGGGCATTTAAATTTTTAATATTTCAAGTGTCCATATAATATTTCAAGGTCTACTACAAGTTTCTGTATTTTGCTGTTGAAGTTTTTGCATATTTTGAATAAACAATGCCCATTTCGGTTACAGCACAACATTAATTAAAAATGAAATTTTTTTTTTTTTCTCTGGCCCACAAATTTGATGAAATTTTTTAATATGGCTTTTTTACTGGTTGAGTTTGACACCCCTGCCTTAGAGGAAGCACATGCTAGCTTTCACTCTCCCAGCTTGGTAGCATCGTTTGATGAAGCAGATCTAGCTAGCAGTTGGAAATCAAGAAAAAAGAAAAAAAGACATATGGCTAGCTTAAATGATGTGTCTTGTGTTGTTGATGAAGGTTGCTATTCATTTTGTTGATGTGATGAAAATGCGTCTTGGAATATGGCACTGACCGACACACACAGCCTGTCAAGGACATCTTCCATTCCCTGCTCTCCACAAGCGCAGCTCACTTTCTGCTTCCTCCCTCAAACCTCCATCTCTGTGGTATCAGCTCAGTGGATGAGATGAAGCTATGCTTACTTTCGTTCCTCTGACCTTTGAGGAAAAACACAAAAGCCCTTCTTTGGCACTGGATCAGTGTGGGATAAAGAGCACACAGAGGTTATGTCGTTTAAAGTGTGTAATTTAGCTGTGGTAAATAGCTGCTTTTCAGTGGACTGTAGTGGAGTATCCTGCTCTCATTCTCCTGCTGCACTGTCTGACCACTAGAGGCTAACAGGTTTCATGTAAAGACAGAAACCCTGCACTTCTCAGAGTGGCCACAAGGACATGCTAACTTAGAGCTTCGTTCACTCACCCTGTCACTTCCTCTCCCTTTTCTTTTTCTTTCTCTCACTTTCTTTCCTCATTCCTTTTCTTTCATTCCTTCTTTTTGCCTCAACTACTCGCCCCCATTTCTCCATATCTCTCTCTCTCTCTCTCTCTCTCTCTCTCTTGTCTCTGGAGGCCAGTGGAACAGCTGGATTTCTCTCAGAAGCTTTAGATGCTCTAATTGAGCTCTCTGTAGAGCTCTCATCCCTCTCCCACGTTCTCTCTCTTTCTCTGTCTCTCTTGTACTCGTGCCTGTGGGCGGCTGGGTGCTAAAGCCTGTTGTTTGGGGGGTGTTAAAAGAGAAGGCCTGACTGATGTGGAATCAGATGCACAGTTTCTGTTATATTAGCTGTGGTTGGGATTTGGTAAGAAGCTGGTCTCAGATCACTGAAAAATTGCATCTACTCAGGATTGTTAAACTAGAAAAGCAATGCAGAACTCTTGGCTTTGGAAATGCCCTCAGTCCAGAAACTGAACATATCATGTTATTATCCCAACAAGAACCACTATAACATACCCAAACAACAGTGATATGTCCAGTCAGTGGTAATTATGGTCAGACAAACACAGGTTTTCTCAGAAGGTCATCTCTTAAACTCTGTGGCCTTCCAGTAAGCTCCATATGTTCCTGATCTTTCATACTTTTCTATAATGTTCATGTTGTCCGTAGCTCTATTGGAGCTGGATCACTTTTAACGCTGAAGAAACTGTAATTTTAGTGATTACTTACTTACTTAAGTACTTACATATCTGTGATTTTAATCCAGTATAAATCTGCAGTGTGTGTAGTTTTTACAGTCTGACAGTAATAATTGTGGAGTGATTATAATCCAGTATGAATCTGCAGTGTGTGTAGTTTTTACACTGACAGTAATAATTGTGAAGTGATTATAATCCAGTATGAATCTGTAGTGTGTGTAGTTTTTACAGTCTGACAGTAATAATTGTGAAGTGATTATAATCCAGTATGAATCTGCAGTGTGTGTAGTTTTTACACTGACAGTAATAATTGTGAAGTGATTATAATCCAGTATAAATCTGCAGTGTGTGTAGTTTTTACATCTGACAGTAATAATTGTGGAATTATTTTCTTAACGCTGACATGAAAACCTGGGCAATGATGTTTCAATTCAGGTTTTCTATCTGTAGGAAACACACATAACAGGTCAGATGAAATCAAACGTTAATTCAAAAGCAACGTTACACAACATTTAATGGCATAACTAATCCACGGTTTTACCTGAGGAGGGCCATTTGTCAGTTTCACCAGTGAAAGCCTGAGAACTTGCCTTATTCATTGCTGAATTAGTAAACAGGACGATAACATAGAACGTTTATGTGAACTGAAATGGTGTTATCTACAAATAAAATCGTGTTTGGTGGCATCACTTTAGATTGCTAATGTGGGGCTATTCTAAGTGATTGTGTTGATCTAAATGATTTCTGACAGCTTTTACAGTGGAAACAGTAATGTATGTATGTAACCTATGTAATTTATGTGAAAATACTTGCAAAGCATTGAAAATGTCTAATTATTTTAAATTAATTCGCTTATAAAGGAGTATAATAAATATTTCAGTTTTTGTTTTTCTTTTGCTTGTTGTCGCACCAAACTGCACAGCACATTTTGATTTTCCTGGTCAGAAAAATAGCGACGCAGTCACATAGTGACGTCACATGAGACAGGCGAATAGGGCTAAAGACTCACAGCAGACCAGTGGACATAGGAGTGGCCCGTGAGTGACTTTGCATGAACCACATTGCTGTAAATAAGGATTTCTCTACATTCTCCTGGTTTTCAGCCTGTCCACAGCCTGCTCTGCTGATCCGCTAGCCTTGAACGAACTTCAGCTTGGCTGCAGGCCAGCGCCTCCTTGTTCCTTTCCATGCTCTGTTTTTCTCCTCTTTCTCTGCATTGCTGAGCAGCAGTGCTCTGTGTAGCTGGCCTGCTAGCCCCCAACACTGCCTCATTCCATACTATCCCTTTCTGTCTCGTAAACAGCAGGCTTTAGGATGTCAAATTTTATGCTCCTTAAGCTCCAAACATACCAGCCTGAAACCACCAGCTTAAAGTAACAGTGAAATATCTAATTTACACAGTTTACTCCCTCACCCCAAATGCAGTCGATCATCCAGAACATGTTTGGTGTCTAAAGTTTGCTTCTTAAGAGAGGTTAAGTAATCTCAAATAGACTTGCTATGTGGTCTCTGATGCTGAATGACATGCTGTTGCAAAAATGGACAGTTTGGGCTTCAAGATGACAGCTTTTACTGTATTTATAGCTGTACAGTATACTTTTGACTGACGTTAATGGGCCCATATCATGGAAAAAATAATTTTCCTTTTGTTGTGCTTGTTTGATGTATTATTTAAACATTGTTTAACTTTCAGAACATACCCTTCTGTCCTCAGACCATATGGTCCATATTTGGAAGTTAAGCCACAAAAACAGCCAGTTATGAATTGATTGTTTTTGTGATGTCTCAAAAACTGACACATTTACATAGTACTTTAGCCCCATCTATTGATAGTGAAGTTATAAGCAGTGTTTCATCCTGGTTTTTGAGTGAGGCACAATACAGGGTGGCTAAGCAGAACAGAGCTCAATTACATACATTAGTCAATCAAGGCACAGTAACAAAAGCAGCCTGTTTAATTGTACGGGATAAATAGAGGGTGGAAAATGATCATATGAACATGTATTATGACTGGTTTTTGTACATAAACCTACACATATGTTAGAAGTGGACATCAGGGAAAAAAATGAAATACAAGAGAAGAGTAACCAGTGTGAACTGGAGGACACTGAAAATTGTGTAGCCATGTAACACTTGAAGTAATTCACTTGAGCTCAATTTAAAGGGACTATATTGTACATTTTTCTTGTAACTTATTGTTTTTCTTGAGGTCTACTTATGAGGTTTATGTGGTTTTATGTACCAAAAACAGTCATAATTGATTTTTACATGACCATTTTCCAACCTCTCTTTGTCCTTTAAAATAGGCTGTTATTGTAACTGCATCTTTAAAACTGATATATGTAAATTAAACAGATTGGCTGCCCTGTATTGTAAGCAGTCCAGGGTGAAACCAGTGTGTGTAATGCTGCTGGTATTTGGGGTTATGTCCCATGCAGGCTGGCTGCTCTAGCATTAGCTGGCTGTTAACTCACTCGCCTCTTCCACACATTGACTGAGATCTTAACCATCTCCTCTTTTGTCTTAGGTTTCAGAAATGAGTAACAATTCACTCTTTCTACCAGTCTCTTGCAAAATTGCACACATTTTCAGATTTGCAG